TGCCTACGCCTGGTTGATCAGATCCGTCGTGTGTTTGTTCGTCATCTATATTTTACGACACAATGACATGAGCGTGTTACTGTTCAGATTTGAGGATATAGCTGATAGAAGGAAGTCAGCAAATGAACTCTTCGACAAATTTCCAACCTAGGGGGTCAACCTTAGAAGGGTTGTAGGCGTACTGCTGTAAGTCCTGCAATTCTTCAAAGGAATTCCACCAAGACATGATCCGCGAGGTTATTTGTACTGTTTGTGTATACGTGTGGTGTCTTCTCAATTTGTGATTTTGGATTAATTTTGTTTACTCGTTGTTTTCGTACCTTGTTTTTATTGCATAATTTTGTTAAAATTTTCGTCGTGATTACTTCTGAAGTTGTGTCCACTCTTCTACACCCGTGAATGAATTGATTGATGTTAAGGACAGCAGATGGGTCGTATACGCCCGGGAGGCTACTGCTGAGAACGACATGCATACGGAGATAATGATTAGCTGTGATCTCACACGCCGGGGAGCGGGAGTATAGACGGCTGAGGCTTACGGACGTCACTGTTACTAGAACTGAGGCAGAATGAGTGACAAGCGAATGCGGCGGTAATTGGTAGTGGGTAGATAAGAGGATGTGCGAAGAGTATCATGAGGTGGTGCTATGGTCACGTTGCGTTATGCAAGAGTCATTCTAGCAAGTGGTGACTTTGTTGCAAGCTGTGAAGAGGAGGCCTTTATCTGGAGGCGCAAGTCGTCACCGATGTGTGAGATTGTGCTGTGGGTATGCTTGTGGTGTGTTGGCTTTTCTGTTTGTTTTCCATTTCAGCTCTGTCCGTGTGACCCAGGTTCTCGCAATGGCATCCAAGTCAACGTGTATTGGTTGTGATGGAAAAAAGGGATGGATCCGTATTTTGGCGGGGAGTGTCAATGTAGTTGAAGATTGAACGATCAATTCACGGTTGTTTGCTCAAACCCAACTTCCCTATATTTTCGCGGAGACATCGATACACCAGTCATCGTCTCATCGGTCGCTGTTCAGAAGGAAGTCAGACCAAAACTGTCAGAAGTAATATTGTGATTTATTATTGTAATATTTGTTCATAGACCTTAGTTAAAACTTAATTTTAAAGCTGCCTAAATGTTGGTGTTACAATAAAGAATTCTCGAGTCACCAATCTGCACTTGGAGCCATGTTTCTTGTATAGCGTTTTTGGCCGTGTCAGCCACGTCTCGTAAACCGTCAATGCCCAGCTCTTGCTACGCTGGGACTCACGCTGTCCCTCAAAGCCTTTCAGAAACGCTTAATACTAACGGACGCAAAACCAAAACACCGATTGGCCACTCGATAATTCTTTATTGTAACACCAACATATAGGCAACTTTAAAATTAAGTTTTAACTAAGGTCTATGAACAAATATTACAATAATAAATCACAATATTACTTCTGACAGTTTTGGTCTGACTTCTTTCTGAACAGCGACCGATGAGACGATGACTGGTATATCGCTGTCTCCGCGAAAATATAGGGAAGTTGGGTTTGAGCAAACAACCGTGAATTGATCGTTCAATCTTCAACTACATTGAGAGGCCGCGTTGTGATAAGTCTCAGAGGACGGGAGAGATTGCAGTTCCATAATCTCATTTGGGAGAGAAGAGGAGTTTGTACTAACGCTGACAGTATCAATAGTCCGATTTTAAGGTGTCCGTCTTAGAGCACGCTGCCATCTATCATGATGTTTTTTCTTGGCTTTCTTAGGATTTCGCAAGTCACCTTTTTTAACGCTTTATGAACTCCAGAGAATATGTGATACTATTTGACGCCATATTTTGATAAATAGAAATGAAACTACGTAAATTAAATATAATATGTGGGTGAAAGAATAGGTAGTTTAACCTTCGAACAGGCCACCAAGATGAGTTTGTGAGTATATCACCTTCTAGTCTCTAAGGAATAGTGCAGCTAAATATCCCTGGTGAGGTTGACAGAAGCGTAATCTAGTACCGGATCTTGTATTGGCTACAGTAGTGCTTCGCTAAGAGTCTGTCTACACAGAATTTCTCCCGGTCGACTGCCACTTTTCCTGCTCTTCACATCCGCCGCATTAGAGACAGCCTTTTCTTCGTTTCACCTCATGGGTAGTCACATTTCATCTCCAGTAACGATGTCCATTTAAGTAGATCTGGGAAGGCCAAAAATTTCTTTAGCTATAAGCCCATGTCAGCCAAGTCACAGAAACTGTCAGTGTCCAGCTCTTACCACACTGGGACTCACGCTATCCCTCGAAGACTTTCAGAAACAATTTGTAATAACCAACGCGGAAAACCAGAACACAGATTGGCGACTCCAGAATCCTCTATTCTTACGCCACTATGTAGCCAACAATAAGATTATTACACACAAGGTTTCTGATAGTTTTCTCTCTTCCACCGAACAGCGAACGATGAGACGATGGCTGCTGGATTGATGACTCCTGAGAAAAATATAGACTTAGTTTAAGTAAACAAACACGGATTGATTGTTCAATCTTCAACTACATTGACAGCCCCCAACAAGGGCTTTTGAATCATGCATGGCGTATTGGAATACCGTGGAGCTGTAGAAGACTGGAGATGCTGCATTTCTTATTTTGGTTTCCTTTTGGACAACCTGCAATCATATCAGCGTCCCCTGATGTCGTGTCAAAAACTGTGTTCGTTTTGCAGTATTGAGGGAAGCGGTTAGCGTCTTTTGGGAACAGTGATCCCGCAGCATTTTACAAAGATCAAGAGAACATGTAATTCACAAACTCAATTCATATACTTAATATTAACTTTAGGAATAGAGCTGGTGTTCCTTACAAAAAAAGGCTGTATGCGGCAGTACCTCAATCTTTATTACATGGAGGATTTCACCCTGAGATGACACCAGTTGCAGAACCACTGGGAGTGCTGGGCAGCTGTTTCGTCCTAGTTCGGGACCCTTTACCACTATACACACACCACCAGGGTTCGAACCCAGGACATTCCGGTTACAAACCGAGCTCGTGGACCGCTGAGCCACTGGGACCCAATCCAATAGTCCTTGAATTCTAACTTCTGCCAATTCACGACATAGCGCGACCACTTCTCAATATCTTCGATGAGTTACTGCCTCATCTTCAACTTACTGTACCCTACTGGTCACGGCTTTCCACTAGAGCCCAGGTCAACTGCTCGAATAGGGCCAGTCACCAGTGTGCATCAGATTAATTTTCAATTATTGGTTTTGTAGGTATTTTGTTTGGTTGTGTGGAGGATTTCATCATGAACTGACATCAGTTAGAAGAGCACTGGAAAACCTGGGAGTGCTGGACAGCTCTTTCGTCCTAGTTTGGGACTCTTCTTTATTATCCCTTTTTAATATCGACCTGTGAACCTGCGGTACTTATTTGTAATGTTCACTGTCGGGAGATATAAACCCAGAGGTATAATTTGGTAGAACAACTGATAGTTCGAAAAACAATGAAAGGTAATAGCAGATCACAAAATCTTTATAATGAAATCCCCGCCTGCACATTTACTCGTACTTCGCTTCTCAGGTCTTCCTTTAATGTTTTATTGTTGTTTTACAATTAGTTTCCATTTCCACCATTCGTCATTTCATCTGTCCTTTCGCTATTCAGTATTCTTGCAGAAGACATGAAACACAGTAAACTATTCACTATCAGTTATGGCACCTAAATATGTTATTTGGTGGTGATTCACAAATGCAGATTACAGATATACCTGTCTGTCCATGCATAAGTTTGTAATCGGTGGGGATATTTCCTAATTTCTTGATTCCTTTTAATGTGGGTCATAAACGCTCCACTATCGTCTTCAAAGATTTGTAGAAAAAGTATCATTTGTTTCTTGAAAAAGTATATGGTTGCGCCAGCAATTGTTTCATCTCCCATCAACAATAATAAGTAATAGTCGCTCTTAATTGTTTAGAGGAAACATCCAAATGAGTTTATAAGCCGAAGAATTTATACCCGTATTAAAGGAACAGGTAGTATCCACTATAGTGTTATACCCCTGCTTTTTAGTGGTTAACACTTCATCGAGGAGTGGGACATGCTCCGAAAGTCGTCTTGAGTTTATCAGCACTTGCCTTCGTAATGCATATATAGACCAATAAGTGGTTTACAAAATTGTCAGATTTTTTTTGATTTACAGCTTGATTCCACACTGTATTTTCGGTAGAAGTATGGAATTTTCAGAATGGATATCGGTAGCCCAAATTCTGCAGGCCGACCATAGATATCAGATGTGCGTCGGTGCGGTCTCGAACCCCGGACCATGTGCATGGTCATCTAGAGTCCTAACCACTGTGCCACCGACGCACGCTCGTCATCCACGTAGAAGGCTTCAGTTCGATTTCCGGATACTGGAAATTCGGCTAGTTGAGTGCCAGACAGCAGGCCTGGAAAAGAAGGAAACTTAGTCATGAGGCTTACAAACTAACCTCGCAAGAACACTGCCACGCTCAAAGCCTAAAGTCTGAAAATGTTGTTACACTTGTCATGTAAATAATGAAAACCAGTATTTAAGGATTGTGCCTGCATATATTCCACTTTCTAGAGGGAGTAATAATTCCTAACCGGCTCTTTGAAGAAGAAATTCTACCAACCCAACTAGAACTGTACTCGGAAGATCAGACTGTGAACGATTTACACAAACTTATCCGAATGAATTCTCGCATTAGGTAGGAAATAAGGGGGCTTGTAATTAGTACCGTTAGTTAAGTGCATTTATCTACTGGATTGGGAATATAAGTAAGTTCTTCATATAAATATACAGATAATATTATATCCACCAATCGATCACAGCAGTAGTTCCAACATTAACAGAGATTTTGAAGTGAATCTGGGAACAAGTAGAAACAATATTTGCTATACCAATATCGAGAACTGAACTCTAAAATACCGTGAAAATTCTGATTAGCAACAAATAATATACGTCTAGAAGTTATTTTATTTTCAATGTTTTTTAAAATGATCACAACTCCATTAACTCTACGTGATGGAATGTGGGGGCGGTCTGATTGTTCCTTAATTTTCCGTGCATGACTTTAGGGGATGGCTGACAAAAGACCGAATGAATGGGTGCAGCTTTTGCTGTCTAGATTTGACTCTCAGGTAATTAGTGAAAATTCCATTGGGATACTGATTTCAAGTTAACTATATAAGTTTGTATGGTATTATCTCTTCATGTGTTAAAATGTAATGTTTCAAAAGCATTATGCCGTTAAGCTTTTCGTATAAGTTGTTAGGAATCCGTAAATTTGACACATGTGTATTTAATTTCAAAGATTTACTGCTACAATCTTCACCGTTTATGTTTTACCGACGAGCTCAGTCATATTACTCTAAACGAACACGTGTTCTGTGTATTGTCATACTATTTAGGAACCTGTACTACTGAGATAACAAATCTTCAGACTCTATGTATGAGTTATTTTGTATTTATGCATTTATTATCTGGAGATGACAAAAGGCCAATGGGTTGAATAAGGCCGTCTCCCTAATTTGTCTTCAAACTATTGACAGCTCTAAATATAAGTTGTCCTTTGATTTTTATAAAATAGTGCGATTGTTTTGTTGATTTTATCCCTATCACTATGATCTGCTCTAATAGATGCTTCTAGGCTCTTGAGTCTAAGTGTTTGTTTTATATACGGTATGTCGTACTGCAAGGTGTTTACTTTTATTTACGTGGAATATTGTATTAATTATATGCAAAAGTTGGGGAACTAGCCCAACGCTCTTTTATATGGTGCTAAATCTGGGTCATTTAGAAGGATTTCGAAATTATTTCTTACAGCAACATTTATGCAACTCTTGTATCCCTATTAAATATACTGAAATTTTGTAAGGTCCTGGACCCATCGGAAATCCATAAAGGATATGTTGTTCATTTAGGAATTCAAAAAAAGTAGATTTTTGGTGGCTTAGACTTTTATTAGGAGCAGAAGGAATTTTTCTTAGGGTTTCAGGTATCATGTGTTTCAGTATTTTTCTGCAGTTCCCCTGAGTTTCTCATCTCATTGTGTGAGAATTATATACATGTTAGTCGAAAATACTTTGCAGTACAGAATCTTTGCAAGTTATCGTTGGAGCTTTGGATGTGAGCGGTTTAGATTACTGGTTTTTAATAATAATTTGTGTGTTAAATGTAAGTCGCTGTTAAAAATATGCACAGTTACACAATTCCGAATTTGTTTGCTCTAATTCAAGATTTGACGTTTTCATCTCAATTTGGCAATTCATGTTAAAATTCGTTTTCATCCGTTAGACCAACTGTAATTTTCTGTTGGAATAGTTTTCCCAATTTTTAAGCACCTTATCACTACATTCAAGCAGGATTAATATGCTCGGTTGTAGACCCTTGCCTAGTCATTAGAAGTAAACAGGCAAACAAGCTTGTAACTAAGGTTAAAGCATGATTTATAGTAGTTTACAGTTGACATTCAGTTAAATATATCAGCTGATAACAGCCGGTAAAGTTACATATCTGAACAGCCAAAGTTCTTGTACAACCAGATGAAAGCGAACATTAAATAAAAAGTAGCAAAGCAGTTTTAATTAATCAAAATGTACCAACCAATGTGTCATATATGCTACATGTGACAGCAAATACCATCGCCATCCATCTTTTTAAAAGAAATAAACTCGTACACCCACTTATTACTTTGACTGTTGCCATAATATAACTTCTAGTTTTACTTAGAAGATTCAAGCGTTTTCTAAATGCTAGCAATCCTTCTTTATTCAAACTGCTTTAGTCTCCTTGACTTTCAACCTTCTTCATTTCACATCTGTATTTTACGATTGAAAATCTATCAAAATCTGTTCATCTTACTCGTTGTTATACGATTTGTCGGATATTAGTTAGCCGTACACAGGTATAATCAATACATTTAGCTTTGTGTCTGACTGACAAATTAATCTTAGAATTCACCACTTCCTCTTTAAATAAGGTTTTACTCATAGCAGTCAGCTACGTTTTTAAAATCTTGTAAGTGTTTGCATTATTGCATTGTTGAAAAGTTTCATTGTAAGTGGTCTAATTTAAGCGGGTCAATTTCTAAATGATCTCCACTTGTACACTACTATTTAGGAATTGTTAGTTGCTTACTTTCATCTCTTTTTCGAAAAAAGCACCAAATACAAGTAGCCCGTTTGTGTCTAAATTCATGAATTTTTCGGTCTATAATTTTCAGTGGACTTCAGTCCAGTAAGGCCAGTAAGAGACTAAACAGTATCAGCCAGTAACTGAATATCAAATTCTTTGCTAATCTGCATTTTGCAGATAAATGTCAGTAAGCCCTAAATTCTTCTGCAAGATAATGCAGTTCCTCTTAGTTTCTCTGGGGCCGTTTTGAAATTATGTAGCTAGCTCATCACTGGATTTTTTATTCATTCAGCTAAAATGAAAATTATGATTTAGCTGAAAGTTTATGACCAGAGATAGTCACTCTTTTAAGTTCTTAGGTTACCATGTTGAACCTTTCATGATTCATATAGTCCACCCCTTCCTATCGAGAGTGTAGTGAGAATTTCCACAGAAGAAACATCCTGAATAATATTTAGTGTTGTATAGATATTTATGGGTATTATGCTTGTAAGTGTTTAGTTAATGGGCGGTCAATACACCTACTTTCATTTAAAATCACGTTTCTAAATGTATTTCCAGAGACAATGCCTGAGTAAATATGAATTAGGACAGAAATGAACCTTTTAGTCACTTACTAAATTTTACCCGCCCCCCCGCTTCCCACCCATCTATAGTGTCATTACCTCTAATTATTGGTCCCTGGTTTAGTCTGGAAGTCCTCAAGAATTTCGCAAACGAGAGAAGACATTTCGAGTAATTTCAGGCTACTCCTTGTGCGATAAAACCTATTCCTCTTTTAACTGATTCGCATTAGAGCACCCAAATTAATATACTATGCATTTAATAGATGGTGTTTTAGGATCACTTTTTATACTTGCGACCTAAATATCATTTACCAGTTATCTGAACATTAGCTGTTCTAAATAATAGGTCAAATTTAGTGTTAAGGAATTGAAAACCTAAGTAAATATAAGCCCAAAACGTGGAAGATATAGGGAGTTTGATTTGTATTAGGGTCATTCAGATTGTTTACGTTTCGATATCACTTTTTAGGTTATCAATCCAGGTGTTTACTAAGCATTATATTAACGATTGGCATGAATCATAGCAGATACCTTTTAAGATTTAAGATAAGCAAATAATATTTTTTCCCACTTATGTTAAGTAAGAAGAATAGGGCTCTGTTGACCAGTATAAATTTCAATGTGTTGCAAAAGAATATATAATTTTGAAAGTAATATTATTTCTTTGAATGTATTGAAGACAGAATGAATAGACAGTTTTATAATTTATCACAATAGAACAACTTCGAAGTAACTGTATTACCTAGCATCTGATAATGTAGCATTTTTTTCCTTCACGTTCCCAGTGGAACATAAGGCTTCAAGCTAGAGGCTTAAAGTTTCTGTAGCAGTGTTAATTTTACAGGATGAGGTTGCTAGCCTCATGCCCAACCTTTCCGCTTTACCAGTCTCACTACTGGCTTAGCGAGGTAAGGGAGTGCGTCTGTGGCCGGGGATCGAACCCCGGACCATGTGCATGGTCGGTGAGCGTCCTAATCGCTGTGCCACCGACGCATAATGTACCATACATGTTAAAATTTAGAAATTGAATCTTTGTTTGTTTGAAGCTTGTTCTTATGCACCTCTGAAAATTGTCCATCAGATTTTTTTCTAAACATATTTGAATGTGTAAAACATCTAAACTTGTAAGAGTCTTCTGGTAGCAGTCATTCACCACCCTTCAGTAACCTTAGAAAAGGTCTGGTTTGTTTTCTTATAATAAAGAAAGTTGGCTTTCTTGACAGACAGACAGATACACACTCACATTGAAATTTGGAACTGATAATTAATTTTCTAACTTCTCTATCTTCATAGTTGTCAGGGTCAATTAATATAAATATCTTGTATTAGCTATAAGAAAAGGAAATCATATCAGCAGAAAAAAGAGATTTAATCAGAACAAGACAGTTTGTACGAACTAAACGTAATTTGATCAACATCATGACTGACTGGTTTTAACGTAGGACTTTGCACTGATGTGCAGCAGTTCGAGTCGCTATTCTCCCTCCATTTAGCACACAGAGCAAGACAAGACAGTAAAGAGGGATTCAAAATAGAGATAATAAACAGAAATATGACGAAAAAAGAATAGTGATATGGAAGAACAATACAATTTTATTGGATGTGATAAATCAAAAGGAGTGAATACATCTACGCCAGCCATTGAGAGTGATTGTGAGCCATATCATCTATTGTCTCCAGTCCTCGTTGGCTTTTACCACACCAAAAATCCCAACCAGTAAGTCTACACCTCCCTACGTGGTTGAATGGCTAGCTGGCTTAAACTAACTAATGTGGATTCCGCTGACTGATGAAGCCATGTCTCGGTTTGACCACCACTGCATCTTTTCTAGCCTAATCCTGTCTGTCTGCCTGTTTTCGACATAGAACTTTGCACAAATGTGCGGAAGTTCAAGTCGCCACATTCCGTGTAGCACGCGAAGCAAGAGAAGAAAGTACAAGAAAAGCATAATAGAAACAGTGAGCAGAGGTGTGAGACAAAGGAGTAATAAAGAAATACAAAACAGTTTCATTGAAGATCATAAGTCACAGGGAGTGGATGCATCTGCGCCACTGAGAACGATTTTGAGCCATGTCACCAATTGTTTCCAACCATAGATTTTTACCGTCCCGAGGACCCCAGCCTGGAAGTCTACACCTTCCTACGTGGCTTAGACCAACTGTTGTGGATTTCATTGACTGATGCCAAGTTTTTGTTTGACCGCCGCTAGCTTTTTTCCAGCCTGACCCTATATCCGCTAACATTGCTCGTCGAGGGAGGCGATGGCTTGGCATACGTAACACATGTCCTAACCATCTCAGTCTTTGTAGCTTCACGACTTCGTCGATTGATTTCCCCTGTTTACCTAGAACTCTACGCCTAACCTCCATGTTGCTCACCTTATTATGCCACTTTACACGGGAAATAGAACGCAGGCACCTATGATCAAAGACAGCTA